TAGAAAAAAAACGAGCGGTCAATTGTTGAAAAATATATTTCTATCTCTGTTACAAATTATCTTTCTAGGATTCAAAAATTAGCTCAAAATATTTATCACTTTCAAGTACTGTTGGTCCCATCAATCATCTCCCATTTAAATTCCCTCTATTCTACCCTAACTTCCACTATACCTTAATTTATAGTTCTAAATTATTTAATTATTTAGAATGATAAGTATTTTACGGAGAAAGTATTTTAAAAATTATAGGAGTATATACTTTGCATATACATCTCCCTGAGATGCAGGGCAATCCAGGAAGCGAACGAGTGGCCCGTGGGGAAACAGGTAACCTACTGTCCGACCACATGAATGGCCTACCAACGCCGTTTGCCTGCCGCTACCGCCTGTATTGCAGATAGTATATACTCCCTCCGTTTTAAAATGTTTGACACCGTTGACTTTTTAGCACATGTTTGACTGTTCGTCTTATTCAAAAACTTTTGTGAGATATGTAAATTTATATGCCCACATAAAAATATATTTAACAATGAATCAAATGATAGGAAAAAATTAATAATTACTTAAATTTTTTGAATAAGATAAACAATTAAACATGTGATAAAAAGTTAACGGCGTCAAACATTTCGAAACGGAGGAAGCAGTACTGTATTTGCTTTCATTGACATGCAAGCAATGTCAAACACAATCAATGGCAATATAAGCGATTGCAATGCTGGGCAGATAGCTACCCATATCCATCCATCCATAGATTGCTTAGATCTGGATCTCATGATGCATTTACACTGCCGCGGCCAGCCAGGCATGATCGATCGGCAGGGAGCAAAGCATTTCTTATTCCAGGGTGTTTTCCACGCAAACATGTAAAAGGATAGAAATATGCCACTCACTTCATCCGAAATATAAGCACTTTAGTTTTTTAGATTAATTAAGTATAGAGATTTTGTATGATAAAATTTACAAGTGACACATACTGCCGAGATAAAATCCACAGATTTATATTGATTTGCCATACCACTAAAATAGACAATACAAAATTAAAAAAGGTAAAATTATCTTTCTATGCTACTATTGTATAGGGTAATTTTATAAATTCGCGATACAACGGAACAACACTAGATGTTTACATTCACTCGATCCTAATTCCTCATTCCCCATCGTCCACTCGTTCTTCACCATTGTGAGGCCATCTCCAATCCAGACACTGCCAAGTAGTTTCCATACTTACCAGTGATATAGAATCTATGTATAGAAACTACTATATATTCAATAGATGGTGTCTTCAAATCAAATTCTTATTCAATCACCTCTCTTCTCTCTTCTTTTATCCATCTATATCCCCCTGTTTTTATTCTTAGTACTTGTGAAGAGGTGGTTCCTTGCATGAGAAATAATTTCTTCATCTTTTTACCTCTCTCCTCATTAATTTTCTTGGCACATCAAAATTTTGCTTATGTGTCAATATATTTAATGCTATGAACACTAGATGACATGTAGGGTTGGGGATGGCCTGAGATGGTGCTATTAAAAATTATTACACAAATACCATGTCTCAATTAATACTCCTAGAATTATTGAGATACTCCACCTATACTTTTATGTTTTAACATAGTTAACTTTTAAATATATCCTTCATTTTTATCTATTAACTAGGAAAAAGAATGCCCGTGCGTTGCAACGGGTGAAAGTTGTTTTAATCTTATTATTGTTATACGGTTAAGGTGAAATTCACTGTAAGAATTAGCTTGGATATATATTTTTCTAGAAAATTATGAGCTACGGTTAGGAGTCCGATCATTTCAAGTTAGCATGCGAGTTTTCTTAAAGGGATTTCTTATACGACTCCTTCTGTGTTTCTAAAAACGAACAAACTTAAAACCTGACTCAGATACGAATTTGTATTTTCAAAAGTGAACGAACTTAAAAACCACTCATACACGGAACCAAAATACCGGCAAAAACATCTTCAGTTTTTATAATAGTAGAGATAGAGATTTCTTACAAATATGAAAAGAAATTAAGTAATGCTTAAATTACATAAATTTTAAATAAGATAAATGATCAAATCGTAGATTAAAAAGCCAACTGTGTAAAAGATAAAAAAAAAAGGAGTAACAATCTTCTTTGCAGCCCTGTAGGCTATCCACTATTACTCCGTTTAGAAAAAAATGATTTTCAACTGTAAATCTAGACACATGACATAGCTAGTTTCAAACTTAGAAATTAAAATTTTGATATAACAAAAGGGAGTACTATATGTTTATAAATCAGTATAAATCATATTCATTTTGCCTGTCCGTATTTGCAGCCGATACACGCTGGTGGCAGTAACCCCGTATTAAAAACCATTTCGTCCTTTTGCATGACGTCATCGCGCGTCACCATTTTTTGCCGTGTCGAGGTGAAGCACCGACCGCGACCACGACGAGCCACACCACCCACACACGCACACACCCTCATCAGGCCCGGTCCATGCCCACCCCCCCTACCGCGTCGTCTCGCGCCCACACCCCACTTGCGCGTGGGGCCCACATGGCAGCGGCCCATCGCTCTTCCTCGACGGCATGCCTCTTTCTGCCCTGACGGTGACCAGCTTTAGAAAAAGGGCAGAGCCCTCCCTCCGATTATTGGCACGGCGAAGGCGGGGAAAAAAGAACAGCGCGCTCACGTCACTGACAGGGTGGGGTAGAGCTGCGTGGGTCCCACATGTCATTGTCCGGCGCATTGAATGCAACCGCCGGCACAATAGGCAAGTCGGCGCTGCGACCGGCTTTGGCAGGTTATCTAGATATTGTAAAAAAACTTGCGAAGGGTCCCACGAGTTGTGTGAACAAGGTCCATGGACTCGGTCATGTACTCATGTGGTTTCCTGCTTCTGAAGCTTCGTGTGGTTCCGCTTTACAAACAAGGGTCTGTGTTTGTCACAATTTTTAAGTTGAAGTTATACGCCGCTAAACCAATAAAATAATTTTTCGCGTACTATGCATAAATGTGCTCATATTTAGGAATATCACGTGCGCTAGTACATAATGACTTATTAGAGAATATCACGCCTAGCACAATAACTTACTTCCTCCATTTTATATTATAAGACTTTCTAGTATTGTCTATATTCATATACATGTTAATGAATTTAGACATATATTTGTGTTTAGATTTATTAACATCTATATAAATATGGGCAATGCTAGAAAGTCTTATAATATAAAACGGTGGGAGTATTAATGATTACATAGTCAATTTTATGTTTGCATTAGACATGTTCAATCATTGGTTTTGCGGCTACACCACGGCCGGCGCCAATAGTATCCAAATGCAACGGTAGCACAATAATACTCCCTCCATTTTACAATGTAACACTTTCTAGCATTGCACATATATATATATAGATGTTAATGAATCTAAACACATACATATATCAAGATTCATTAGCATCTAAATGAATGTGAATAATGCTAGAAAGTCTTACATTGTGAAACGGAGGAAGTAGCTGTCGGCCTGACAACCAGGCCCTTTAACATCTCTTGAGAAACCCTCGGGAATTCTAGTGATTTTTCCTTACATAGTACATTTCTTTTATAATCAGAATTATGTTCCTATTAAGCAATTATACTTTTTGAATTAATTTTGCAAATTATAGGTATTTTAATCAAACTATCTAAAACTATGCTTCCTCCGTCCCAAAACAACCTCATTTTTCACCTATCTCAGACATACCAATAAAAAAAAGACTAGATTACTCCCACTTTATTAAATTTCAATCTAATTATTCCCTACTTTATCTACTATAAATAAATTTATCTTCTACTTTCACAAACTTTAGTGCAATGGCTATTCAAGAGTGAACTTATTTTGAGACAAACGGAAAAAAAAGGCAACAATGAACTTACTATAGGATGGGGAAAGTAGATTTAAGATGTTATATTACAAAACTATAAATTTAGCGATAATTTTATCATGAAACTATAGGTTTAAGGTTAAGTATCGAAAACTACAAATTTTAATATTGAAGGTATCACAAAACTATAAGTTGTAGAGTTTTAATCCCTAGCATTACCGTCATGTTGGAGCTATAAAGTTGTAGTTTTGTGATTAAATTGATACTAAAACTTAAGTTTTTTTTACTCAAGTTACTACTTAATTTATAGTTTTATGAAACTCTATCTTGAATATGTAGTTCCGTGATAATTTTATTGCTAAATATATAATTTTGCGATATACAGTCTTAAATCTATAGTTTTGTGATAGTTTAATCATTGTAACAAAATTTACTCTATACTTTTTTATATGGTCCATTGTAGCTTAGATTTGTTACAAAATAGGAAAAAGTTAATATGATCAATAAAATTCTAATATAAGTCTGTATATCACCTAGAATATGATATAAAGAACACTTTGAAATATGAATATATTAGTATATACTTTTATACTAAATATACTTATAATTTGACAAATCACTAAGTCATAATTACTCCATTTGACATTTTAAAATTAGCATATGCCTTGTAAAATGATAATTTCAATATTTACCATTCCAAAAAATTCCAAATTAATCACACCCAATAAATATGATAGTACTAATCTATCTTTTTCTAAATGAAGCTACAAAAGGATCTTTTTAGAAAGGTGGCACATTCTGAATCCAACTTATGCCACTAGGATATACACCCATCCAAGTTGACACCCTAATACTATATGCAAATAAAAACACCACTACCTTGGACATTAGTGCTCCCCCTCATGGTGCCAAAGATATTTTCCAAGTTACCCACCGACTAACCTACTACGAAAAACAAAACCAAAACAAACAACTCAAACCCCCTATTATTTTTCTTTAACAGAAATATCATGGGTGCCCTCGCGGCTAAGCAAACCCTTTAAAAACGACCCCTCCGGTCCATGCACCGGGCTCACGCACGCACCCTCCCCACCCCTCCCGCCCCCTCGGGGTCCGCGCATGGATAACTCGTGGGTGGGCCCCACCACCCCCTCCTCCCCTCCCGCAGATTTTTGTACCCGCCCGTGTGTGTGCGTGTGTAAGCAAACCCAACCCACCGCTACCCTCTTCTCGCCGCAAGCGAGGCGAGCCAAGCAAACGCGAGGCCGACGACGACGACGAGGAGGAGGAAGCGCAGCCACTAGTCGCGGCGGCGGCGGCGGCGGCGGCGGCGGGTGATCGGAGGAGGGATGGTGGGGCTTGTGGGAGGAGGAGGTTGGAGGGTCGGGGATGATGCGGCGGGTGGGGGTGGGGGAGGAGCGGTGGCGGCGGGGGCTGCGGCGGCGGCGGAGGCGGAGCACATGCGGAGGCTCCACAGCCACGCCCCCGGCGAGCACCAGTGCAGCTCCGCGCTCGTCAAGCACATCAAGGCTCCTGTTCACCTCGTGAGTTCCACGACTCACGACGCCTTCCATCCTCTTTTTTTTTTCTGTTCTTCGTTTGGTGTTTGTTCGATTGGTTGCGTTTGGTTTGGCTACTTGGCTCGGTGGTTGCTCCTTGGATCTGAATTTTTTTTATACTTTGTTTTGGCGCTGGGTTTGGTGCTCGTGCGGCTCGGTTTGATGCGTAGCTGTTGCCTGAGATATTTGTTCGGTTGATTGGTACTAGCTCGAATTGAATGTGCGAATTTCGCCGTGTTTTTGGCCGCTCGAGATCCCAAAATTGTATGGGATGTTTTGACTTGTTTCTTCGCGGCATCTGCTTGGTTGATTGTATTGTTGGTGATGGGAGTATTTGATTGTTTGATCGATTGATCGATCGCTGCTGCTGCTGCAGGTGTGGTCGCTGGTGCGGAGCTTCGACCAGCCGCAGAGGTACAAGCCGTTCGTCAGCCGCTGCGTCGTGCGCGGCGGCGACCTCGAGATCGGCAGCGTGCGCGAGGTCAACGTCAAGACCGGCCTCCCGGCGACCACCAGCACGGAGAGGCTCGAGCTGCTCGACGACGACGAGCACATCCTCAGCGTCAAGTTCGTCGGCGGCGACCACCGCCTCAGGGTTCGTGCCACTCGATACTGATACCCATTTCTGTCTACTGCTCTGCTTTTTTTTGTCCCTTTTTAGATTAGATAATGTGCTCTGCTTATTTCTGCCTTCTTAATTACTAATCCAGTATGATTGGCTCACTGCAAGTATATCATTTATGCCTTCTTAATTACTAATCCACAGTATGATAAACTCACTGCAATCCAGTATTTTTAGAAATCTTGTTTTCTGTTTTATCTTGGTAGCAAATGTTTGGCATTATAACCTCTGCATATGGCATGCCTATCTAGATTTAGAATGGATATGGGTTCTGGAAGTCACATTGGTTCATCCATCGTTTTGATTGGATCAGATGATAGATAACCTTGTGCTTCATTATTTGACCTACTAATTTCTAGGAAGTAATATAATCATGAGTAGTTTTGACTTCCACTAGGGATAGAATGAAAAAATGGACACTGGGAAACTCAACCCTGTTTTCCCTGTTCTTCATTTGGGCTTCAGTTTAATGATTTGCGATGTGAATTCCAATACGTCGTCTGCTTTCTTGAAAGGCAATGACCTACTAGTGTGGTCTGCATGTGGCCTTGCTGTTTCTTGAACCTTACTTGAAAAATAAGTTGACCATGTTGCCTTAATTGAAGAATAATGATTTTAGGTTCTTGTTTATGGACAGCTAGGCACTCATGATCTTTACGACTTGTCAAAGCTTTATTTTGATTTGTACTGATTTCTGTCTCCCCACTCCTTCAGAACTACTCATCCATCGTAACTGTCCATCCGGAGAGCATCGATGGAAGACCAGGGACGCTTGTGATTGAATCATTTGTGGTGGACGTGCCTGATGGAAATACAAAGGACGAGACATGCTACTTTGTCGAGGCCGTGATCAAGTGCAACTTAACATCTCTCGCCGAGGTATCAGAGCGGCTAGCAGTTCAGTCACCCACCTCGCCACTTGAACAGTAGGGTCATCACTGGCACGGGACATGCGAACTGGCATGAATAAGAAGCTTCAAATGGTTGCTAGAGATTTAAATCTTTTTGAGATGGTAGTTCCTCCATTGTCTTCGATATATATGCCTCTTGTAAGGATTAGTATGTAGGGTTAATTATCTTTAGTTGCTGGCTAGTGATGGGCTTAGGTCTTTTTAGGGACTGCACCTAGCTACCTTGTAGTTATGTATGCATACTGCTAGTAGTATGTGTATAAATAGGGAAGCATGGAGTGGTTTTTGCCTCTTTGGTGCACATGTGAAACAACCTCAAGAGTTCTTTTTCCTGCATTTGAGCTGGCTTCCCATTGTAGTATAGTATTGTTGTGTTCTTGGATGACATTCCGCTAACACTTGGGCTTGGTTGGGGGCCTTTTGATTTGGGTGGATCTTGGATTGTGCTGTAATATATACATATGAAAGGAGTTCTCCTTTGCACTATGAAATCCTTTCATAGTCAAAGAATATGCTTATTGAACCAGTATAATATTCCTGCACATGACCATGAGTTCAAAGACAAACAAGATACCTAGAAGTCCAAGATTAAAGTCAGCCTTAAAAGGAGTTTCTGAATTCTCATGTTGCAACAGAGAACAGAATCGTTGAGAAAATATCTGGGTTTTCCTGTGTGAAGTTAGGTTGCCAACCCTTTGAATGACAACCAAAAATCATCAAGGCTGAAGGAGGCAAGTCCATCCTCGCATGCTTTTGCAATCCATGCCCTCTTTGGGTGCTGTCAGTTTTCAGGTCACTTATTATTATCATTAATCCAAGTCTACCCCCATTCTAATCCTCTCGTTACAAGTAGCTTTCCAAGCATTGTTTGAGACAAAGCAAAGGCGGTCACTTTCAGGGCCAGAAGCTCCTGAGATGGCTTCTCGAGAAAAGTCGATGCTGGACCAAACAATGCACAAGCTTTGCTCGCGTCTGTTCTTGTTTGTAGCTTTGTTTGGCTGAGAGGGAGACTCTGACGGTGACTTGCTCCTACCACCAAAGTATGGCGGTTTTCAGAGAAAAATGTGTTTTGGTTTATACAAGTTTGCATCTTTTTTTTTCCCCTCTTTATCTGTTTGTTCACTGCAGCGATGACTAACTAACGATTGGTCGTTTTTGTTCCCTAAGATGGTAAGGATGATATCGCTTGTTTTGCCGTTTATGCTGGTGGACAGAATGAGTGGCATCACTTGTGAGAGTCATCTTGAGACTACGTTAGTGCGCTGCGGGGAGTACGCCGTCCTCGCACATGTTTGAGTGTTTGACTGAAGAGGTTGTCTGTCTGTGTGTGCAAGATAATTATGGACATCAGGATATTTTCCGATTACAAGACACCCACCGCGTGCAAGTATTTTAGCGAGTACTCCTACTTTCCTGTACACACACTACTTATCGAAAGGAGCAAACATGTGCGTGGATAATTCCATGGCCGTGGTACCCATGGGAAACTAATGTAGTGCAGTCTTAGCTTGTGCTTGAGACATGGGTCCACATGTCATTGACCTATTTTAGAGAGTAGTGGAGTATATCAGAGGATAACTCATCCATACCAAAGCCAGAAAGGCTCGAACTGATGGCAAGAAATATCGCAAGGATTTGGCTTCGATCAAAACCCCTCAAGAGTAGAATTGAAGCTACTAACAAATTAATTTGTAGAGCATGACTTGGTAGTTGGTACCAATCCAAAATGCCCATAAAAGTTTAGTAAGGTGTACAAATTGATTTGTGGAAATCCAAATTTTGGGAGTTCTAAAAGTTCTCTCATAAAAACACTACTAAAATTTAAGAAGAAGACATCGAACTAAACACATCTAACTCAACCAAATTTTATGTACACTAAAACATGTAAAAAAAAAACAATAATTTTAGCTACAAACTGAACAAACCCCACTAAACTCCTCGCTCCATATCCATCGCAGAGGACAAGTAGCAGACCAATATGCATCGACCTCGCACGCAGCTATAGCTATTATCGTGTTACGAGAATACTCCATCTCTGCATACTCTTTGGCCAAACAAAACCACTGCACTACAATACTACACAGAACATGCATATGGACCGGTCTGCATCAACCATCCGCACGTACAGTCTTCCTCACCTTTTTTGCAAAAGAGAAGAGGAGATCGATCGATGTTACGCGACCATCTCGGAGAGGGGATTGTCATCGCCGTCGTCGTCGTCGCAACATTCGCATCGGTCGGACGTGCGTACGTGTGCCGTGGCGCCATTGGCCGCGGCGGTGTCGCGAGCTTATCCGGTGGCCATTTTGTTGGATCTTTGGATCGGTGGGGCGCCATCGCCCGGGAGCGAGGTGGGAGGCCGCCATTGGCCGGCGCCGGCGGAGGGTCCTTCCTGATATGGCATGTGTCAAGGGAGGTAGAGATGGCGGGTTGAAAATGGGACATGGAATCTTTGGACCTGTCTCATCACAAAGTGTTTTTTTTTTTCTGTTGCGTGTAAAAGTTTGTTGAGGATAAAATCAAATTTGGATATATCTTTCACCAAATAAGATATTAAAACGGAGGAATTAGATTATACTACGAAAATACGTGATATATGTAATATAATAGCTGCATATATAATCATGGTATTCACAGGAAAACTAAAAGCACCGTGGTGGAACCAAAGGAGTATGACTTCATTGACACCGCTCAACATGGTTTAAATTAAGGATAAGTCCATTTTACCCTTCTCAACTTTTAAAATTGTTCATTCTACCTCCTTGCAAAAGTCACCTTGACTTTCAACATCCAGTCAGCAAAAAAGTAAAGAAGAATTTATCGACAGGTTGTAATCGCCTACTGTCGAGCCAACTATGCATCTTCTTTTTGCCTCTATTGATGAAGCAAGCCGTGGAAGCAGCGATGGCAGCAAAGGCGGATCTCGGCAGACGCAGTGTATGGATAAGTTGGCGACCGAGCTCATGGTGAGAAAGAGCCCAAAGAGAATATGACACTCAGGATTCAGGGAAGAGAGGAACTCAAGGAGTTGACCATGCTCGGTGGATGTGGGAGGCACTCCTTGAAAGCAGAGGCGGTATGTGGACTGTACTTGTAAGTTGTAACGCCCAATAATAATTAGAGGAAAAAAAATACTACTAGAAAAGAAAGGAGTTGGGCCTTGCAAGCAAGCAGTAGTGCTAGTGCAGCTAGCAGACCATGGGCCTTGCATCCTTGCAGCGAGCAATAGCAGTTGGGCCAAAGCTAAGCTAGCTACGGAGAAGCAGCAGCAGCGGCAAGATGGTCTAGAGCATCTCCAACAGAGTGGCTATTTTTGACTCTCCAAATATCCTATTGGGCTACTTGCCAAAAATTTAGAGAACCAAATTTACGTTTCACTCTGACAGCATCTCCATTACACTTCTCCAATTTAATAGTGGGACCCATACATCAGTCTCCTATTCTTCCCTCTTCTCTACATTTCGGTGCGGGATGGAGGCGGCGCCGGCAGGAGAAAGCGCGGGGATCGAAGCGGCGGTGGTGGGAGCGGCGCGGGTGGCGGAGGACGACGGGAGTGGCGCGAGGATGGAGGCGGCGCCGGTGGGAGCGGTGCGGGCGGCGGAGGCCGGTGGGAGCAAGCGAGCGACGGCGAACAACAACGAGGCGGCGGTCTCGGCGGCAGACGACGGCAGACGACGGCAGCGTCGGCAACGGATGACAACACCTCCTCCGAGTTACCCGTATGTTCTTTCTCTCTCGGTGCACGATACCAGGCTGCGAGCGGGAGGCCACGACGAAGCCCTCCCTCGCTGGCCCCTCTACCACCTCGTCTCCCATCTCACTGGCGCCGCCGCTTCCTTCACGCCGCTGCCCCTCATCCCTTCTTCTCTCTCTTCGGCGCTCAAGAGGGCACGGCGGCAAGGCGACAGAAATCAGCGCTGGATGCCGGCGGCGACAAGTGGGAGGCTGCGGCGACGCTCGCCGTCGTGCCGCCATGCCACCACATCCTCTTCCCTGGTTTTTCCCTCAGCACGGCCGCAAGCGGATCTCGTGGCGACGGAAATCGGCGCGGGAGGTCGTGGTGGCGGAAATCAACATTGGGGAAAGGCGTGGTGCCCACAATTTGCCAGTCAGTTTGGCTGGCCAAGTTTGACTAGTGGGAGGTGAAGTTTGGCCATCCATTTAGCTTAGCCATTCAAGTAGAGAGACTGTTGGAGTGAGATTTTTTTTGCTAAAATTTAACTTGGAGACGATGTTGGAGATGCTCTTAGTCCCACCTCTCTCAGCCGGCAGCCAACTAGAGCAGCACTAGTTTATAAGGTGGCCTACCTAGTTACTATTATTAACTCCATTAAACTTTTTATGTAAAATGATGATGAAAACACAAGAGAGTTAAAAGCATATGTAGCTGTGATAAGTAAATAAGTTGAACCCAAAAACAATATTGTTTTTGAACCCTAGGTGATAACTAAATAAATTAGGCCCAATACAATTCCAGCCCTAAGCGTTACAGTGGCTCTCTCTGAACTTTTCACCACCATCAAGCCGACATCCAAGCAGTGGCGTGGCCAGGAATTTTTCATTGGGTAGTCCTACTCACAAATACACATCACATATAGCTAAATTTTCAAATGTCGTAAATCCCATATACGAGTACAAATTTAATGAAGTCCTAAATCCCATATACGAGTACAAATTTAATGAAAAAGTGATAGGAATGTAACAATATTGTCTAATATAGTCAATATTTGACTAACTTAACAAGCAAGTTCACACGTTCAAATATAAAAGATATTGGGCACATATAGAAAATCACAGTGCCACTATCTTAGCTATAAAAGTTGTTATTCTCATGTCTTCTTCACTAACTTCGGAAAAGATATCTCACTTGATACATGTGACGAATCAATGATTCAATAAATCATAGGAGTATATTGTTTCTCTGCGTGGTCATCACTAGATTAAGGCTAACATACAAACGAGCAATTCCATATCAACCTCATGTTTACAAATCCTACAACTACAATAGTACCAAATAGCAACACATTCACATTCACTGATTCACCAATAAAAATAGAGTAAATTTCGCAAAACTACATGTTTTATGGTTTAAGTTGCAGAAAACCACCTATATTTTAACATTTGGCACTTAAGTATATATATTTTGGTAGTGTAGTTTCACAAAACCACACTATCAATAAATGGATTCACATGTGAGATGACGTAGTTGTTACACCTAGGATGAGAATATGGCATCCTATTAATTTCGTGTGATGGCTGGTAATAAGATGCCACGTCCTCGTCATAAGTGGAACAGCCACGCCATATCACGGGTGAATCAATTCATTGATAGTGTGATTTTCTGAAACTACACTACTAAAATATATGTACTTAAGCGCTAAGTGTCAAAGTATATGTGGTTTTCTGCAACTTGGACCACAAAACATGTAGTTTTGTAAAATTTACTCATAAAAATAACATTCACAGATTCACCGATTCACAAATCAGAGTACACTGATTTACTCACCTAAGCACGGGACTCTAAGGGGTAGACAGAAGGAAAGCATCGAGGCAGGGGATCAACTAGGGCCAGGCCGCCAGGGGTCCTGGGCTCCCGGCTCCTGACGCTGGCGGCCGGTGGCGGCGCCATGTGAGGAGCCCCGGCGCAGGCAGCCCACACCTGGGCAGCGTGGCGTGGGGAGCGGTGCCTCTAGCACTCTGCCATTCGGCCTCTGTAGATCGAGTTAGGGAAGTGGTGGCGGCGGCTCGACGGCGGCGCGGCGAGGAAGCGACGACGCAAGCGCGTAGCAAAGACGGCGAGGACCAAAGGAGTCGAGATGGCGTCGTGGTGTGTCGGATGCCTCGACTCCCAAAAGATCAGACCTAGCGCTTTTTCCCTTCTCTCTTTGTGGGCTTGTTTTTTTTGGCTTGAATGAGAACCAAGGTTTATGGGCTTTTTTTTCGGAGGGTGGGGTATCCTGGGCAAAATCGGGGGTAGTCCCGAGCCCACCAAGGATTGTTGTGGTGCTTGATGAAAGCGGAGGTGGAGACAAGCCTTTGTAGGCTTGTAGCCAACTAGATCCAGACTTTAGGACATGTCATGTTCTCAGTGGACCTACCAGCTTAGCCAGCATCTGAGTAGAGAAGCTCTAGCCAATCGCCTCTAAGTGTCACATGCAGGGGAAAAGAGCTTTGGATGGCGTATAGGTGGGCTTGGATGGCTGTGAATATGGGAGGCAAGGAGCGGCGTGGATGGACAAGGGCTCTGAGCAACAACGGTAGTATGAGGAGATTCAAGCTACGTATAAACACTAGCAAATATGGACTAAGCGACGCCGGCAGAAGACTGGATAAGAGCTCCGGTCGACGTAGGAACTTGCGCTCTAACTTACAAGATGCACAAGAAGATATAAGAGAGCGATAGGGAGAGAGAGGGAAAGAGGATGAGTGGATGACATGTTGAGCCAACAAATTTTTTTATAAAAAATATTTTCCTCATTAGTTTGGTTTGGAAGAGGAAATAAATGAACGGTCGAGGATAGAATGAATTGTTTTAAGAATTTGGGTGTATTTTAAGATTACCATAATAGTTGTAATATTTTCCTCATTAGTTTGGTTTGGAAGAGGAAATAAATGAACGGTCGACGATAGAATGAACAGTTTTAAGAATTTGGTTGTATTTTAAGATAACCATAATAGTTGTGTAGGGTAAACTTTCGGCCATAAGTGAGCAGTTTTTGATAAAAAAATGAATAAGGTCCAAAGATTTTGATCCTGGTATTGGTCTCTCTGAGCACGTGTATTGAAAGGTCGAGCCTTGCAGGTGCTGCATGTGCCCCAACAGGTCAACTTTATTTTTTCTTTGAAACAATATGTCAACTTTTATTTGACATTGTATACAAGTTACCAACACGAAGCATTTCTTGGGACTATTTTATGTACTCTGTTGAGTTTCCTACTACAAGCAAGAGTGGATTAACTCCGATCATAAATATCTCACTTTTAAGACATGATTTAAGTTAAACGACATGTAAAACTTTAGGAAAAAGTACGAATTACCCCCCTGAACTATCGAGGTCGACCGAATTACACCCCCGAACTCGAAAACCAGAAATGCTACACCTTCAACTATTGAAATCGGACAAATAACCCCCCGATTCAATCCGGAGTGGTTTTGAGTCCACGTGGCAGTCTAGTCAGTATTTTTTTAAAAAAATAATCAGTGGGCCCCACCTCTCAGTTCTCACCACTCTCTATCTCTCTCTACTCTATCCCAATCTCTCCCTCTCTCTCTCTTCTCACCCCACCGTGCTGGTGAGAGCCGGAAGCAGGCGGCGCTGCCGGCGGCGGAGGGCGGTGGGCAGCTGAGACGGAGGCGAAGCGGGCGGCCGGCAGCGGGAGGCAGAGCTCGCCTGCGCAGGTTGCTGTGCAGGTTGAGGTGGCGGACGAGCGCGAGCAAGCCGAGCACGGTCGGCGCACGTACCCGGACAGGTTCTTCTGGCGATGGCGACGCCGACAAGCCGTGGCCTGACGACGGGCGGCGGCGCGAGGACGGGCCGCGGCGGGCGGCGAGGACCTCGGCTCCTCGCATCGTGACGTCTCCACGCTTAGCACCGCCCACAGGTCATCCCGTCTGGCCGTTCACCACCAGCGCTCCAGCCGCTCCATTCCAACTGCTGGCGGTCTACTGCCACATCCGCGCCGCGCGCCTTTCCGTCGGTCACCGCGGCGCGACCGCGCGAATGCAACTGCGACCTGCCCTGATATTTGTTGCCATTTGCTGATCCGCCGTCCGCCACCCGCAGCCAGCCTCGGCCTCTGTCCCCACCCACCGCCCGCCAGCCGCCTCGACAACGACGTGTTGACGCACGTCACACCGGCCCACCGGCACGGGTCGGCGTCGGCGTCCGACCACGACGACAGCGTCCCCCCGACGGGTCATCGGTCACCGCCATCTTGAACGCCAGCAGCGCCACCAAATCCTCCACCCGTGGCCACGGCGAAGGACGGGTAGTTGAGGTTGTACATGGACTAGGCCTTGCTCTCCGAGCAGCCGTAGCTCTTGCTCCTCGCCACGGCGGCGATCATGGTGGATGTGTAGTTGAGCGCGCAGCGTCGTGGGTGGCGCCGCCTGCTCCCGCCCTCGTGCAGCCGCAGCCGTGCTGGTGAGAAGAGAGAGAGAGGGAGAGATTGGGATAGAGAGCGGTAGGAACTGACAGGTGGGACCCACTGATTATTTTTTTAAAAAAATGCTGACTAGACTGCCACGTGGACCCAAAACCACTCCGGATTGAGTCGGAGGTGTTATTTGTCCAGTTTTAATAGTTGAGGGTGTAGAATATCTGGTTTTCAAGTTCGGGGGTGTAATTCAGTCGACCTCGATAGTTCGGGGGGTAATTCGTACTTTTTCCAAAACTTTATCTCGTCAACTATCAACTCTACTTAATTTGGATTTCTTGGGCTATTTTACATTTATTATGTCATAAAAATACTATAATTGAGATCCCAAACATAAGCATAAGACGACATTTATTAATTTTAGAATAAAAAACCTAATTAAGGGTCCGGATGAAGTACAACATAATATTTTTAAAATTTATTAATTTGAAATATCAGATTTATTAAACCAAGTTAATAGTACACTTATACTCCAAACTGACTACAATTTGGTATATATCAATTTTAAATTTAAATTATACTACATAATCTATATCTATATCTGTACTAATATAAAAAGGAAAAGGAGAAGTTGTCCCCCTACAATCCTACTACCCAAATCAATCTGGTATAATCACCATCGTCCATCTACATCCACATCACCTTGATCGCTAATCCTACCGTCCACCGCGATTTCACCCTCTCCACCGCGCGAAGACCACGCCTCCGCGCAATTTCACCCTGTCCACCGGGCGAAGATTACGCCCTCCTCGCTCCTCTTCCTCGCGTGTACTGTTGCCGCCGCCTCACTCAACTGCTGCCGCACCGGAGCCGAGGTCGTCCCCAGCCGCCCCCGACGGCGAGGTCCTTCCTCGCCGCCGCCGCACTCCACCTACCGCAGCCTGTCCCCGACGGCGAGGTTGTGGTTCCCCCGTCCACCGGACCGCCGCGACTGCCCCCGATGGCGAGATCCTTTCCTGCCGCCGCCGCACTCCACCGCAGTCTGGAATCACCGGCGCCGAGGTGGTTCCCCTTCCACCGCACCCGTCCGGGACTGCCCCCCACAGCGCCTAGGTGGAAGTGGAATGCCTTTCCGTGCTTTCATTCCACGACTTCTTCACCGGCTTCCTCGCCGACGCCTACCTTCTGCCCGCCATCCTGAGGTCTTCCTTGATTCTCATCCACAAGGTACATCCACAATCACTTATTCTCTGTACGGTGATGATGTAATACTTTAGGACTTTCGATTCATGAGGATTGTCAGCTGGAAGAGCCATACATCTTCACTCAGTAGCTTTACTCAATCTTGTTCATGTTGCATACTTGCTTGCATATGGTTCGTCTAAATTTGTATTGATTTGTATGGTGGTCAGGTTTTGATATGCCGGTTGGGATCAGATATAATGCTTTCGTTGATATATTCTGAGATACTGAAGATGCTACGGTTATACGGCTTACTGGAATTCAGTTTGGATATTTTCTATCTACGTGATCTCAACAGTCTGCTTAGGGGCAACACAAGAGCTAGGTGGGCGATGGAACACATACTATGAATTCACTTCTGTCTGAGGTGTGTTTTGTCAATCTTCAGTACCCATGTTCCATTTTGAAAGGTCGGTGTGTTGTGGTCTGCTACATGGCTGTACGCCTGTACATATCTCAGGCAAGATGATTTTTGCACTTGTACTGGCATTTAGCACGCCAACCATAGGCAATCTCAAAACTACTCTACACCAGGGAATTTCCATCTTGTAGCTAGCTTGCTAGAGGGCAATCTTTTCCTCAAGCTCCTATCTACCAGCAAAAAGATTGCTAGCATTTATGCTTCAGATTTCTGAACAAGACTTGAATTGGATTGCTGCTTGAAAATTTCCAACTGCAAATTTCTGTTAATTTCCATAACTACAGGGTTGAATTTCCATCAATTACTTGAATCCAGGATTTAAAGACGCGCATAGCTCAGCAAGCAGTGGATTATACTAAGGTCAAGTAGGTCAACAAATTTGAATTGGTGTAGGGCTTGAAGAAGAAAAAAATAGTATTACTCTCTATTGGAACTTGAATTATTTTTTCTAATAAGTTTCTTGTCAGTGAAAAGAATTTGTGGTCAGTTACTAATTAAGAACTGATAACTGATGGGTGATTGGGTGTTCATTCTATACTGCATAGCTTTTTTTAAAAAAAATGAAGAGAATATATTTTTGTAGTTGAAGCAGTCAATTTCTACAACAACAGATTACTAGGACTTTAACCTTCTCTATCAGTGTTTTTATGCTGGTATGGACTGGTAATATCAAGAAGACTGAATGCATAACCAGCAGTTTTACATATTTTTCAATGGCAACACAAAGTACCATTTATGTTTATCACAAACACTTGTCTTCACTGAGAAGTGCCATTTATGGAGTTTGTTTGCAGTTTGTTCAATAGATTCACAACATTTCAAATATGGAGTTATTTTTCGGAACATTCAAAGAAGTACAGCTGGCTCAATTTTTGCCGCATGCTGTGAGCTCAAAATGTAAGAGGTCGCCTGGAACTTGTGCTTATTTAGTATCAAAATTTCACCTGCCGAATATGTCATCTCAATATGTTCTCCTAAAATTATTGCTTGAGTATAGTGGTGTTCCTTTTGTGAACTCACTAAGCATATTTTTTTTCAAGCTAAGAATATACAGATGAAGCATGGAAGGAGGGATGCTTTTACATTCTGGTTTGTTTTGAAGCCTTAAAGTAGTCAGCCAATGATCAGACACCTTTCATTTGAGGGCCGGAGGGAAGTTTGAGGAAAAGGCTAGATTTAGTTATGATTTTGCATGCTTCAGTATGATATGATTAACCTGATTCTTGATAGCTTGTATTTTGAAACCAAGTGTTATGTTAAATTTACATCAAATATTGGTCATTTATAAAAGCAGGTTGTCTGAAAAAATGTAAGTATGTTGGCTTTATGTATGCAGGTTGTCTCAATTTGACCTCCCTTTATAGCTTCTGCCTGATTGTGACACCTTTTTTAGCTGTACAAGTAGTGGGAAACACAAAGCAACAATGAATATGGGCGAATGGGCAAGCTGATGAGCAGACTGTGGTATTGTTTGCTTGCTGCTGCGTAGCACTCACAGACTAAGCATCTGGTGGCCTAGGGTACTATGCAGTGGTGAGGAGTGAGCCATAGCCACTTATCTGATCAACGAGCACCTGAACAGACTGTAGGTTAAGGTGATGTCCTCCTTTTCTAGATCCTCAAATAATAAATATTTTAGTGCCAAATTTGAGTCATGTTTTTTTTTACTGAAATCTATATTTTTTTTATGAAGTTGCCATGTATGATCATTTTTTTTTGTGATGGATATAGTGCGATGTTTGATTGCTGATTTGCTCCATGCATAAAGAGCTTCTAATTTAAAATAGTTTCACAAAAGAATGATCAGGTATTAACTACCAATTGCCATTTTTTTCCCTATCTTACTTGAGTGCAAAAATCAGTTTTTATTTGCTCTTTTTTCATGGCAATGCAAGAAGGAATATGAGATGTGCATTATTTGTTAATACAGATTCTATTTGGATGTGAAATATCTTTATCTCCTTGGAAATTTTGCTCTCTTATTCTGCCATTAACTTGTTAAGATTCAGAATATTATGGTCTTCTTAAATCTTGATTTGTCGGTGGCCTTGAACATCGTAGATGAGCACGGCTATCGCTATCAAGCACCATCATCTTAAAAAATAGTATTAATCTCACTTCGGTATACTTCAGTACCAAGTTCTCCATATATATTGATAAAAAAAACTAAGATGAAATTTCTCTTAAATAAAACATTGATTATGAGCATTAGGGAGATGCCAACTGATTGGTGCAAACTTTTTGTGTGGAGATGGTGCCTGCAATAAAGATGAGGCTCACAAGCTAAATTGAGCACCTTCCTTTAGGATATCGTGGTACAGAATATATGTATCACTTTTTTTTTTGCTACAGAAGGTGGAGCAGTTTTTATGTTCTTAGTTTTTGTTTATATGTATTTATAACAATTATTCTTTTCTAGATCAATTATTTGTGTAGATCAATTATTTACACCTCTTGGAAAGGAACCACCAAATACAGCATATGGGATTTTTTTTATTGCCTCATGATTTTTTGTTTATCTATGCCAACATTTACCGGCACAATTGCCTGCTTCTCCATGTGCTCCCGTGGTAGATTGGGTATCCACATCGAGAATAGGTAATTCAGAAAACATAAGACAAAATTTTACTTCAATTTAATTATACTATGTTATTTATTAATTATACTATGTTATGTTTATTCTTCTTCTTTCAATCGGTTTCTGACCAGCGAAGTTCTTATTTACGGGAAATTGTCAAGTAATCTCTATTGTGCGTGTTCCTGATCGAAGCATGTAGCGGTGCATATGTATTCAATTGTAGTACTCTCAAACAAAAATATTGAGCATTTGATGTACATCAGAATTGTACTAAGAAGAACAAAATTGTGTGCCATAATGAATCCAAGAATTTAAATTTGATCTACGTATAAAATCTAATTGTACTACCCAACAGTAATGTACTATGCAAACTACATGAAATTCAATTTTCAAAATTATTCCGTAGCTCTAGACAATCTTATTACTACCATCATTATGGTTTTTAAAATAATAAAATCTAGGTGATACTCCGCGTTTTGCTGCGGGATTCATGGATGAGTATATGTTAAATATTGTCAAAATGATGAAAGTTGAAATGTTAAGAAAATAATGTGAGGAAGATGATTTGACATATACTTGTTGATCTCTATAATATAATATTATAGATGATGTGTCATACTTGTATGAGATTTTAATAGGCTAGAATAGTAATTGCTAGTGAGTGAAGATGTGGCATGCTTGCATGGAATTTTAAATGATCTAAAATAGTAATTGCTAGTGGGTGATGATGTGGCATACTTGCATGTTGAGTTTTAGCTTCTAATAATTGTTAGTGAGTACCAACTATATAAAAGTATAGATGTTCTCCCTTGCAGTTTGGCAAGTTTAATTTAAGCAATTTGCCCGATTTAATTCATATTGATTTTTACGTGCATTGTACGTGCACGATAACTAGTAATAATAATAAAAGTTATAGTTGACAATCTGGAATTTATTAGCTCCAAATTTCAGAATTATTAGATCATAACATAAGTATTGTTGAGACTCTAGATTTCGTACGAAATTATCAAATCATGGGAATACTAAATTTGAGATTTCAAACCGAGTACCATTCGCTTCTGCCTAGTATATTAGTAAGAAATATTTAAATCTTCCAGCTTGTATGATAGACAAACAAATACACACGGGCTTACATTGTTCGTGCTTAGTTTTTTTAGAGGAGATGTATCGATCAGTAAGCACTAAGAGCACCCGCAATGGTAAAGTAAGTTGCTCTCTATAACATATGTACATCTCAGCAATAGACTATATTAATAGTAAACCTCCTTAATAGTATGTCTACATGGGTATCGATCTATTGCCTCGTTTTATCTATAGACTATCTCCAAGTTAGTAGATAGTTTTGCTCTCTCTCTCTTCATTTAATATCTTCCAAGTAGGAAGATATGCTGACATGAATCTCTTGTAGAGAGCATATAGATAACTATTGTGGATGCCCTAAGCACACTCATAATTATACAAGTTAAATAAAGATAAGAACGCGCCATCCATCGATTTGTGGAGGAAGCACGTTGCACCAAGCTCACACACCATTATTGCAATATATAGGTGGTGTTTGGTTGGAGGGATTAAAGTGGGGCTAAACTTTAGTCCCTCTCACAAAAATATAAGTCCCTATGTAGCCCCTCTCTCCCAAACACCCCCATAGCATTTCCTTTCTTTCTTAATTAGCTCTTGTTACCACCTGGACCTACCCTTCTCCCACCAGAAGCTGAGCGCTTCTTCTTCTTACTCATTGTCTTGTTTGTTTTGTGTTCGTCGTCATTATTATCGTCGTCATCGTCGTCGTTGTCATCACCATCGATGTCATGGTTAGAGTCAGAATCATGATCCGAATCTGAGCCGCGATCAAAGTCCGAATCATGATCTGAGTCCGAGTCATGATCATGATCAGAGTCTGAATCGTGGTCCGAATCGGAGTCATCAACAGAGTCCCAATCACTGCCATCATCGTCATCATTATCTAATTTCTTGATCTCTATACCTCGGTGATGCTCAGCATCTTGGCCTGATCCTCTACCGACGTCAAGCTCGCCGTCTCGCCGATCACCGGCTTGGACGGCCTTGCTGGCTGCCTTCTCCTCGCCTTCGTCTTGCTTCACCGGCGAACTTCTCTTTTCCTCCATGGTGGCGCCATGGCTTACCTGGCTAATTGGCTGCTGCACGGTTGTCAACGGGTCATCTGAGGCAGCGGATGAAATGACGGCGAGGAGGAAGAAGACGGCTAGGCAAATGGCGGCGCGCGCCATGTGCACGGTGAGGTCGCCGGCGAGCTTTCTCGCTCCGATGACCGAGCGGGCTATGTGTAATGAGCTGTGAGAACAATGTTGGGAGAGCAAGGTATTTATAGTGGGTGGCCTGGCCTATATCTGTTTACATAATGCAATATATTTCTTTACTAGAAGGGGGACGCACACACATTGATCAATACTCCCTCCGTTTCAAAATGTTTGACGCCGTTGACTTTTAGCACATATTTGACCATTCGTCTTATTCAAAAAAAAATTGTAAAATATGTAAAACTATATGTGTACATGAAAGTATATTTAACAATGAATCAAATGAGATGAAAAGAATAAATAATTACTTAAATTTTTGAATAAGACGAATGGTCAAACACGACTAAAAAGTCAACGGTGTCAAACATTTTGAAACGGAGGGAGTATTACACAGGCAACACCACACTTATACAGCTTGCGAATGCATCCCCTCTCACATGTTTAAAAAGACGGAAACCAACGGTACATCCATAATCTCGCTAAATTTCGATTGACAGTTCATTTACGTGTACATAATATTCGTAGACACCAGGATTTGAACTCTGAAATTAATCATGTACCCACGACTCCATCACCACTCCACCGGTGCTTCCCCATAATGCAATGTAATTTAATCGAGCCTCTCCATGTCCAAGACGTGTATGCTGCCATCTTCATCAGTGATCTAATATCATTGTAGCATATTATTATTATTATTTACCTTCTTCTCCCAGGCGTGCTATTTCAAAAATTATCTTAATTCGAGGTGTGTGACTTTCTCTAATGGAAGCTGAGTCGATCTGCCGGTACATATATTATGTCGTGCTTATTTTTTTTGCTTAGGTAGTGCCTCAGTGCGCTGAGCCAACGAACTGCAACAAACGTTGTTGCAAAGTGTGTGGCATATGCCTCCATTTTGCACTAGCGCGGCAAGTAAACTTTTGTCAAACTAAATGCATGCATTACTGGATTCTGAAATTGTTTATGCTGTTCATCACGAGATGTTGTTTCGGTGATTGTTCACGACTAACAACAAAGATCAATCAACAAGTTGCTAATAACTGTGTGATACTGTTGACGAAAAAAAATCGAACACACCGTCCTGGGAGATCTGCTTAGCTCCTGTGCAGATCCAAATATTGACGAGATTCGAGCGTACCAGTCAGTTTGATCCTGCAACTGACAAGATATGCAAATAGTAGATCGAAATAGCCGATCGGCTGACAAGCCGATGGAGTAGTTCCAGCCGATGCCGATAATAGCCGATGCCGATACCAGCCGATAGCGATAGGGTTTAAGCAATCGGCTATATGTCCAATGTAGATAATGATATAAAGGCAATTGGCTGACGACGATGTAATAAAATAACAATATAATCCAGTATAAACCAATCAGCAAATAATGATATGATAAATAAGCATCGATTCGAAGGTCAAAACACACATCGGCTGGAGGTCTGATGTCATGAAATCCACAAGATTAGATTAAACACTGAAGCCTTTGTTGTCATCGGCTAAATCCAACTTATATGTATATGCAATCCTTATGAGCCGATGCAACGTCCAGATAACTCACCAGCTGAAACCCCGATGAAACCCTTATTGGCAATCAAGAAGCAGGCTAGAGATTATGGTTCTAAGCACGACTTAGTAGATCAAACTTAACTGATGCAGCACTAAGTATGAAAAGAAACATAATATCTAGACAATCAAGTCGTTGACTGAGTTTTCAGGGTGGTAGATGTCTAAGCTAATCTAATCTAGCAACGCGATTTAGCCGATGCCTGCAGAAACCCTAAAACGAGAAGCAGCCGATAGAGCTAAATTGATATGCTAAGACTAGATTAACAGAGATATATGATAAATAGGTAGACAAGTATATCATCCAAACCAGATCAATCCAAGAGGTCGAATGTACTGATGCAGCCTTGAACATGCCGACGTAAACGATATAATTGCCTGGGCCGGCGGAACATTGGACTTATCCCTTCGCCGGAGATCGAAGACGATGCAGCCCCGCGTCGGGTGCCAAGTTCCGCCGGAACGTAAAAACAAAAGTAGAAATAAAAAGGGTGGCGATGCGCCGAATTGTATTGATCGTGGAGATAGATTACATAGACCCCGGGTGTACATATTTATACCCATGGGTTGATACAAGTCCTTGTCGGACAAGAAAGAAACCTTCCTAAAGATAAAAGGAAAAGATAAAGTCCTTATAGGACACTAAACACACTTTCCTAAAGATAAAAGGAAACTAACATACTATTCCTAATTAATAGATACAACTGCCTTCTTCGGACTCGATCCTTACGTGGCAATCATCATGAAGCACGTCAACTCAATCCGACAATGATTCCAATATCATCTTGCCGGAATCAGCTACATCGGCTTGTCTTGTCCGATTCGGTAACTGCCGATGCACACTGTAGCCGATGCGGTTCCGAAGCCGATTCATACCCTGTTTCCGTTATCGATTTCCTCCCAAATCCGCTTCGGCCTTAACTCCAAATCCGATGCATGATTTATCAAATTTCATCATTAACAGATACTGGACATTTGTAATTGCATTTGGCATGATTATGGGAGCAGAGGGGGGGTACCCATCTGATGTACTACCTCCGTTTCCAAATTTTTTATGTTGGTTAGTTCAATTTGAGCTAACCAACGTGAAAACTAAAAAAGGAGGGAATATTTGAGATGGAGATTATATATAGCAGGCACTACATAAATGTACTTTGAATGGCTCTGAGACCAGAGCAGAGGTGTCAAGCTGTGTTACCATTGTCGGACGGTAAACAGTAACGGCTGATGACACTTGTGATTTATGAAGGTAATTATGACTAAACCAAGAACCAAGTTATACTTTGCACATTTGAGACAAGGACCATGCATTTTCTAGAATAACTACTAATATTAAACGGTTGGCTAGCTTAAATTATAAAGAGTGGAGATTTTCTTAGCAAAAGTACAGTAGTTGAGTCTGGTATTGGCTCTTAAGCAATACACGCCATCTAAAGATTATCCCCTGGCAACTGTGAGAACTAAGAAAGGCTAATTCTTTGGTCATCCTAGTTGCCTAGGACTAGGAGCATTGGAAGCACTCACTACTACGAAATCGATTTTTCCATTCAGTCAAAAAGGGTTTTTCCGTGCGGAGGTCTTGCCTGTCTGCACCCAGGTGTCTACGAAAATAAATATTTTCACGTGTGGACGGCCCAACCGCACGAAAAAATCTATATTCCTGTACGGTCGGGTTAAGTGGACCGCACGGGATAATTGGATTTTCGCATGCGGTCATGTTATGTCGCCCACAAGGAAAAATAAAATTCTAGAAAAAAAATAAAAATTCAAAAAAGGAAACCCTAGAATCCAGCGGCGGCGGCGCGGATCCGGCCGGCACGCGTGCGTGCGGAGCCAGCCGCTCCGCTCCCAGCCGCCGTTGCCTTCTCGTCGTCATCGGTAGGGGCGGCGTGGATCCGGCCAGCACGCTTGCGCGCAGGGCCGGCAGCGCCGCTCCCGGCCAACATTGCCTCCCAGTTGTCATCGGTCGGGGCGATGCGGATCTGGCCGGTGTGCGCGCGGGGCCGGCGGCACCACTCCCGGCCACCTCTTTGTCGTCATCGTCGCTCGAGGCCACCACTTGTAGGCGGGCCTCACGCGAAAATCGATTTTCGCGTGCGGGCCTCTTAAGGGTCCGCACGTGAAAATAGGAGTCTGATTTTTGCGTATGCACGCAAAAACGGTCTGTGTGCGAAAATGGGAGCTCCTTGTCCAGGAAAATTGTTTTTTTAGTAGTAACTACAACGCGACATCCTTTTCATTTTTTTTGTCCCTGATATAAATCAAGTTTTAAGGGCAGTTAGAGATGATGCCTTGTGGTGTGCAGTGTGCTGTATGCATGGGCTAAACACACCTTCTGGAGTTAGGGCCTGTTTGGTTGCTACCCTGAGGAAAACTTGCTTGACCTGAGACAAGCCTGAGTTATTTTACCCTCTGTTTGGTTGCCACCCTCAGCCCCTTTTCCACTTGCCTGGCCTGATGAAACCTGGCATGTCATTAGCCTGAGTCAGGCGACCCATTTTGGTCACCTGAGCTCGAGGCGTAGCATCACTCGAGGATTACCAGCCTAATCTCTTGCGAAGTCCCATGCTCAGCTAGCGCTGCACGAAGCCAAAGCCACCGCCATCGGTATCGTTGCCATCGGCCGCTATCGCGGGAAGCCCCTCTCCTGGCCACCGTCGCGCGAAGCCCCCGCCGTCGACCGCCGTCGCGAGAAGCTCTTGTCCTGGCCACCGTCGCGCAAAGCCCCCCGCCGCCAGCTGCAGTCGCGCGAAGCCCCCGCCGTCAGCCGCCGTCGCGGGAAGCCCCTGTCCTGGCTGCCGTCGCGCAAAGCCCCTGCCGCCGGCCGCCGTCGCGCGAAGCCCCCGCCTCCGGCCGTCGCCCGTCGTGCGGAGCCATCGCCAGGTCCAACGGAAGCTGGCGTGCGGTATAGTGCGATCTCTCACCTTCTCGCATGAAGCAGCCCCTGTCATCTATCTAGCTGGATCTACCGTCTTACCAAGATGGCTGCCTCCATTTGTTTCGTTAATTGATTTGATTTGCATGCGACTGGGAATTGAAAGTTTAATTTGCGAGTTATTGGATTTGGGTGTTAGATAATGTGGTTTCTGTTAAGTCTTCTGTTGAGATAGATAGATAAGGATAGAAGATATAGATAAGATAGTTTTTCTGTTTCTGTTCTTGTTGTAACTACACACGCTATTATCTTGAGATAATGCGTGATTCTCTCACTTGTAAACACCATGCCAGGGGTGATTCCTGCGCCTATATTAACACGTACATGAACCTGGAGGAAGGGTATCACTTCAACTCACATGGTATCAGAGCCTTCTCCCTCCACCCGAATCCTTCCTCCACCAATCTTTAGATTAGATGGCATCATCCTCTTCCACCGTTGCATCTGTCCTTAATGGACAGGCTGTTTCTGAGAAACTCACGAAGAGCAATTTCGTTCTCTAGAAGGCGCAGATCCTTGCGGCTTTGTGCGGCGCGCAGATGGCAGGCTCCCTAGATGGGAGCACGAAAGCGCCAGATGCAACCATCACCATCACCAAGGATGATGGAAAGACCACCAAGAAGGTGGCAAATCCTGCTCTCCCGCTGTGGAGGGCTCAGGAGCAGCAAGTTCTGAGCTACTTGCTATCGTCTCTGTCCCGTGAGGTGCTGACTCAAGTTGCTACCTTCACAAAGGCGACGGAGGTGTGGGAGGCAATTGAAAACCTCTTTGCGTCGCAGTCCCGCGCTAGGATCATCAACATCCGAATGGCGCTCTCGTCCACCAAGAAGGGAACACGCACTATTGCGGAATATGTTGGTAAGATGAAATCGTTAGCAGATGACATGTCCTCTGCAAGGAAGCCTCTTGATGATGAGGAGCTTGTGTCTTACATCTTCGCCGGCCTTGACTTCGACTACAACTCGGTGGTGTCTTCCATCGCTGGCCGAGCCGACTCCATCACCATGAGCGAGGCCTATGCACTGCTAGTTGGCTTTGAAAGTCGGCTAGAACTTCTTCAAGGCTCTTCATCTGCCTTGGCCAATTCTGTGTCGCGAGGAGGGCGCGGCGGTGGCCGGGGTCAAGGCGGAAACCCTGGACGTGGCGGCTTTGGACGTGGACGCGGCGACGGCAAGCCAAGGCCGACATGCCAGCTGTGCGGCAAGATCGGCCACACCGTCATCAAGTGCTGGAAATGCTTCGATCACTCCTTCACTGGAGAAGAGAAGAACGCCAACGTTGCTGCATCAAGCTCCTACAGCGTTGACACCAACTGGTACGTCGACAGCAGCGCCACCGACCACATCACCGGCGAGATGGAAAAGCTGGCGGTGAAGGACAAGTACACCAGCAATGAGCAAGTCCACACGGCTAGTGGAACAGGTATGGACATCAATTATGTTGGTCATTCTACTATTCGCACCCCAAAACGTGACCTATTTCTCAAAAATATCCTTCATGTGCCAAGTGCATATAAAAGTCTCATATCCGCTCATTGCTTTACTAGAGATAATAGAGCTTTCATAGAGCTTCACCCATATTTCTTCTTGGTTAAGGATCAGGTCACGAGGACGCCGCTTCTTCGAGGCAAGTGTGAGTGCGGCCTCTACCCTCTGCCAACTGACAAGTTGTCCAGCGCATCACATAAGCAGGCCTATGGTGTTGTCAAACCATCGTTGTCCCGGTGGCATAGTCGTTTAGGGCATCCATCTCTTCCTATTGTTGATCGAGTCATTAGCAAGAATAATCTACCGGTAACTAGGGATTCTAGTCAGGAGTCTGTGTGTGATGCTTGCCAGAGAGGCAAGAATCATCAATTACCCTATTCCAAGTCTTTTAGTGTGTCCTCCAAACCTTTGCAACTTATTTTTTCCGATGTATGGGGCCCTGCACCAAGTTCAGTTGGCAATAAAGTTTATTATGTTAGCTTCCTCGATGACTTTAGTAAGTTTACATGGATTTACTTACTCAAGCACAAATCTGAAGTTTTTGAGCGATTTCGCGATTTCCAGAACCTTGTTGAACACCTCCTCAACAGGAAAATTAAGGCCATGCAAACCGATTGGGGAGGGGAATACCAGCACTTAAATACCTTCTTCCAGCGCATTGGCATTGAGCACCATGTCTCCTGCCCCTATGCGCATCAACAAAACGGTTCTGCCGAGCGCAAACACCGCCATATTGTTTGAAGTTGGCCTTTCCCTGCTAGCCCATGCGTCCATGCCTCTCAAGTTTTGGGATGAAGCTTTCACCACTGCTGTTTATCTCATTAATAGAACCCCGTTAAAAGTAATCAATCTCCCTCCGGATTACTCTCTTGTTCGTACTTTTGGCTGCGCCTGCTGGCCTAACCTCCGGCCGTACAATGCTCGCAAGCTAGCTTTCTGCTCCCAACAGTGTGTCTTCCTAGGCTATAGTACTCTCCACAAAGGTTTTAAATGCCTAGACATATCTGCCGGGCGAGTTTATATCTCAAGGGATGTTGTGTTTGATGAGTCATCTTTTCCCTTTGCTAAACTCCACTCCAATGCGGGCGCCTGTCTCCGTTCAGAAGTTCTCTTGCTGCCACCACATTTGCTTCCACCATCATCATTGCTTGATCCAGGGGGCAATATAGTACATGATCAACCTATGATTGATGATCCTAACCACACTAATCACACTAATCAGGATACTGAGCATGCTGCAGGACAAAATACTGAAAACAACGGAGAAAACAGCGATGAAAATGATGCAGGAACGGCGGCAGATGATCATGTTTTCGTGCAATCGGACGACCACGGCTCCATGCAAGGTTCCGGCGGACACCACACCGGTGCTGATCCCGACGCAAGCATGCAGGCGCCGTCAGGTGGTGCTGAGTCCGAAGACGAGCAAGACACAGGCTCAGTGGGTGCGTCGCCCATCGTGCAGCCTGCTGTGCACAGTCCCGTGCATGCACAAGATTCCTCTGCACACCAGTCCGGATCATCTGTGCTGAGCAACGAGGAAATCAGCTCCACAACGCAAGCTCCTGCTCCTGGTCGAGTCACAAGATCAAGACACGGGACCCGCAAGCCGAAGAAATACGCCGATGGGACTATAAGGTATGCATGTCTGACAGATACTAGGGAACCAGATAGTTTGCAAGATGCACTACGTAATAAAAATTGGAAGTTGGCAATGGATAAAGAGTATGAGGCACTTGTAAATAATAAGACTTGGCATCTAGTTCCACCTAAAAGAGGGACAAATATTATAGATTGTAAGTGGGTGTATAAAATTAAGAGGAAAGCGGATGGAACTATAGACAGATATAAGGCTAGGCTAGTTTAAGCAGCGATATGGAATTAACTATGAGGATACCTTTAGTCCTGTAGTAAAGGCTGCAACTATTAGACTTGTTTTGTCTCTAGCTGTCACAAGGATGGAGTCTTCGCCAACTTGATGTTCAGAATGCTTTTCTACATGGCTATCTTGAAGAAGATGTGTATATGAGACAGCCACCAGGGTATGAAGAGGCAGGACTACCACATCATCTCTGTAAGTTAGACAAAGCTTTATATGGTCTCAAACAGGCTCCAAGAGCTTGGTACTCTCTCTTAAGTAAGAAATTGCAAGAACTTGGTTTTACACCTTCCAAGGCAGATACCTCTCTTTTCTTCTTTAATAAGAAAGGAGTCACAATATTCTTACTTGTGTATGTTGATGACATTATTGTTGCAAGCTCTAGCACCTCAGCAGTCACAACATTGTTAAAAGGTCTTGAAAAAGAGTTTGCTCTCAAAGATCTTGGTGATCTACACTATTTTCTTGGAATTGAAGTTAAGAAACTAGGAGGTGGTCTGTTGTTGAGTCAGGAAAGGTATGCTGGTGATATCCTTAAGTGAGTTGGTATGAGGAATTGCAAACTGTTAGCAAGTACTCCTATGTCCATAGCTGAAAAACTGTTAGCAAGTGAAGGTGTGACCTTAGGAGTACATGATGCAACACAATATCGTAGTATTGTTGGTGCTTTACAGTATTTAACTCTCACAAGACCAGATATATCTTTCTCTGTTAACAAAGTCTATCAGTTTCTTCAGAATCCCACTGATATACACTGGGCTGCAGTGAAGAGAATACTAAGGTATGTTCAAGGAACATTAGGACTTGGACTTAGGATTGACAGGTCTTTCTCTAGCATTGTAAGTGCTTTCTCTGATGCTGATTGGGCTGGGTGTCTAGATGACAGAAGATCTATTGGAGGCTTTGCTGTGTTTCTAGGTACTAATCTTGTGTCATGGAGTGCTAGAAAGCAGGCTACAGTGTCTAGATCTAGTACTGAGGCGGAATATAAGGCTTTGGCAAATGCAATAGCTGAAATAATGTGGGTGCGCAAGTTGTTGGAAGAACTTGGAATTCCACATCCCAGATCATCTCAATTATGGTGTGACAATATTGGCACAACCTATTTGTCTGTTAACCCTGTGTTTTATGCTAGAACAATGCATATAGAAGTGGATTATCATTTTGTTCGAGAGCAAGTAGCACAGAAGCAACTGGAGATTCGATTTGTGTCGTCAAAGGATCAAGTGGCAGATGGTTTCACTAAGCCTCTTCCTGTTCGGCAACTACAGTTGTTTTGTAACAATCTCAATTTGGGAAACTTGAGATTGAGGGGGAGTGTTAGATAATGTGGTTTCTGTTAAGTCTTCTGTTGAGATAGATAGATAAGGATAGAAGATATAGATAAGATAGTTTTTCTGTTTCTGTTCTTGTTGTAACTACACGCGCTATTATCTTGAGATAATGCGTGATTCTCTCACTTGTAAACACCACGCCAGGGGTGATTCCTGCGCCTATATTAACACGTATGCGAACATGGAGGAAGGGTATCGCTTCAACTCACATTGGGGATCTCTTTCTTAGCATCCTATTTCTTTTTCACTTCTTTGTGTGTATGCTATTAATTTCTCAGAGCTAAGATGCGCATAGAGTTTGGTCGATTTTTGTTTCTTCCCATGAACACATAATTAACATAAATAATCTAAGCCCAATCACTTTTTCTTTCTCTCAGGCAAGTGTGCCAAACCAAACAAGCAAAATCTCAGGTTGCCTGACCAGGCAAAGCACATGCACTTCTCCGATGTTTCTCAGGCACCTAAATTTCTCAAGCACAGCTTCTAGGGCACCAACTAAATAGGCCCTTAGTCACTGGGCTTCTTGGTAGCCCTATCTCTTGTATCTCTTGTTTGTTTTGGTATGTTTTTTATTTTCATTTTTTTCATTTGGATTTTTACCGTCTTTAATGAAATGATGCCCATTTTTACTGTGTATTCAAGGAAAAAAATAAATTAATGATCTAACCTTTAATCCACCAAAATATTTTGTTTATCATTCCTTCCTTTCTGCAGCCTTTAGCAGTACACGTCATCTAGAGAAATTCGCTACTACATACCCTTCATTCGTTTTCTTAGCCTTATATAATACTTCCTCTATTTCATATTATAAGACTTTCTAGCATTGCCCACATTCATATATATGTTAATGATATCTATATGAATATGGCAATGCTAGAAAGTCTTATAATATGAAACGGAGAGAGTAGCAATTTTCTCTTTTATCCTATGCTAACAATCGTTGTTGAACTTAACATTGATGTTTCTCTCGCCTCATCTTTTCTCTCCTCTCTCGTTCATATTGGCATATTGATCTAGTTGACAGTTCTATGGACAACTATTAATTGTCAGTGTACATGTCATGAGGCCTATATAATAACCTAGCATATTCAACACTGAAGTTCTACTCTTTTACTGTGTTTGATAGAGTTATACACTTCTACTTCTACCACAACAGCTACCAGCTCTTGTATTTTAGCGATTCTTTTTTTCTTTTGGCCTGATATGCGCTGCTGTGTGACATTGGATGATTGGAACGTAGGCATCTTGTGATGTTAACTGTGCTCTGTACAGCAACAAAAACAAGGATCACTGTATTCAAGCTTGATGTGTAGCATAGCAAATGAAGACAACCGAAAAAAAAATGTCAGCTTTCGGATTTTAGGTGTCCGAAGAAAACGAGTCAGGGGCTCACAGCCATATATCCTCTGCAAATTGAAATGGAGGATATTGTATTGGAAAACTTTTGTTCCGTTTTTTACTTCTAGCTCAACCAAAACTATAACTCAATTAACTAATCATATATTCCCCCCATTTCACAATGTAAGTCATTCTATCATTTACCACATTTATATTGGTGTTAATGAATCTAGACATATATACGTGGGAAATACTAGAATGACTTACATTGTGAAATAGAGGAAGTAAAACCTAATGTTTTTCCCTACAACATTTGCCCTTTTTCTGTTTTACAATCAACAGCAAATGCAGGTTTCTTAGTCCGTCCGATCTGCCACGTGACAGGATCCAGTCCCTCTATCTCCCTCTACCAGTTCTGCCCTGCCGTGTGGTTTCTTCTCCATGGACTCCTCCTTCCTTTGCCCTCTCCCGATGGGAAATTTAACTATTTGCCACTCTTGTGACATGGCAATTAACGATTTGCCACACCCTGTCAATGACATGTGGGCCCTCATGTGTCTATGACATGTGGGCCTAGTGGCAAATCATTAAGCAACATCCGTAAGAGTGGCAAATAGTTAAAAGCCCCTCTCCCGATCCCCTTTTGTGCAGCCGCTGCTCCTCTTCGGTTGCTCCACGGAGCCGTCGCCAACTGAGGGGATGATGGCCGGACGGCGAACTCACCGAGGCACGGCTGTTGGAGCGAACTAATCCGGAGGGGGTCAGGACTATTTTGCGCCGCCGCGGAGGCGGCGGCGCTAGAGGCAGGTCGAGCGGAGGCGACAGCGTCGGGCGACGGGGTGGTGCAAACGGTGGGGGCCGCCCGGCTCGAGCGACAGTGGCGCCGAAGGCGGTTTGAGCGGAGGCGACGACGCCGGGTGACGAGGCAGCCCAAACGGCGGCGGCGCCAGAGGTGGGTCAAACGGAGGCGACGGCGCTGGGCGCCGCGGAGGCCCGAGTGGAGGGCGGCGACGACAATGCGTGGCGGGCCTTCCTCCGCGCTGCCCCCCCTCGCTGGCTGCCGGCTCCCGAAGCTCCGCCTTCACCGCTCTGTTCCTCCCCAGCTCCGCCGCTCTCCCTCCCCATCTGCAGCTCGACGGCACCGGCGGCGGCTTGACGACGGCCGCTCCGTGCCCCTCCTCGCCAGATCCGGCCTTAAGGTCGCCGGATCTGGCCTTGGGAGGCGGTGGCGGCGGTGGCGGCTTGAAGGCGGCAGCAGCAGATCGAAGGCTGCGGCAGCGGCTCGACTGCGGGAGCAGCAGCTCGAAGGCGGCGGCGGCGGCTCGACTGCAGGAACGGCTCGACGACAGCCAGCCCGCGCCCCCTCTACAGTGCAGTAGAGGTCCCATCGATCGGTAACATCGATTCACTGATTCTTCCACATCTCTCCCTTGCGCCGCTTCGTCGCCCACATTCACTGATTCTTGGAAGCACAAACGAAAGGATCACATATGTACGTTACTACCTTTTCCTGCAAATACATATACACCACTTGGATATACATACCCATTCTGCCTTGCTTTACATGTTAATTAACTTGATTGAGCAAATGTTTGTTGCATTGATCGGCCTGTATCTCAAAGTACAATGAGTAAGTGACTGAAGGTAATTCATTAGCCTTTTATGTCTATATATGATCATAGAATGTATGCAGGGTGCATCAGACAAGCAAAATTATATGGCAAGTGATGGCACATTTCTTAGGGAAGGATTTATGAGTTTAATGTCAAAATCCTCTCTATCAGTTGCTTATGCAGCTAAAAATAGGGAAACAACCTATTTATATTCATAGGATACTCTATGAGTTCAACATCAAAGTTTCTTATAGGATACTCTATGAGTTCAACATCAAAATTATTTATATTGACATGTTAATTTATTATATTCTAAATCCATATGTTATTGAGATGTGTTCTCCAATTGATCTGAATGCAGAGTATCCTATCATAATATTAACAATGTTGGACCATACTTTTGGTGGGTGCTGCATGCAGTTATTATTATCAAAGCCATGAAAGGTATTTTACATTGTTACATCTTCTTCACCTTTATAGGTTTCTAATAGTGTTCTTGCTTCTTTGAGTGGCTTCGTTTGCTAATTCCTATGCCCTTCATATTTCAGGTTCAAGGCTTCCAGCTGGTTGGCAATTGCTCTTCAGGGTTTCTCTACCTGTTAACTGTTATTGCCTGATATTATTTCAGTTTTTTGGGTAGTTCCTTGGGATGTCTTATTTGTTGTTTAGTCGTTATATTCCTATGCATGATCATTATTTAGTTGTTTTGATAAATGACCTTCCCTACTCTATTTTTTATCATATAAATTAGTATTCGGTTAAACTATAGCATATATTTTTTTGCATGAGGCAATATTTGTATTTAGCAGCATCTCACTGACTACATTCATCCATTTTCGTTTTCAGGCATGGGCACATGGCAGATACCACAATGTGAGGCAAACATTGGACCTTAGCTAACATAAATGAATATGTGATGCCACTTTCACTGATGCTTCTATGACCACTAGTCCGGGTAATTTCAACTTTCTCATGCTGTTATATGCTGATGCTATATTACTTAGCATGCTTTAGGAAATTACAGACTATTTCATTCTGTTCAAATTACATGTTGTTATTTGTAATAGTGTGGGATATGCATGCTCTTCATTACTGTATATGGCATGCTCTTCATCAAGGTTAAACCGTGGATCTATTTTCCTTTTATTATTGGTGGCTATAAAATAGATTGATGCTAATTAATGGCAAGTTTGCGAAAATACTGAACTCTCATATCTCCAGGATTGGCTATAAAATCGTCAGTTCTGGGTCATGGAACAGTAAACCTTAATTTCTATTTGTTTTTGCTAATGGCCAATCTGTATAGATTAATTGTAAAACATACACAATATGAGTTGCCACTGTGGTTAGGGTTGCGATCTGCGGTTAGGGTTTGGGTATGGAATAGAGCAAGTGTGATGGCCAATGTGCATGACAGAGTCAGCTCCACTAACCAATGTCTCTAGATATGGTTCTACTCTGTGATCTCCCCCATCATCTCCGTCATGGATTAGGTCTAAGCTTGATTTAGGTGTGTGGCTGTCCAGCCATCTGCGCTCCTCCAATGGCATGCTGCTGGATATGCAGCCATCTCCAGCTTGGTTATTCTCTGCTGAAAAAAAATTAATCCCTCCTATCACATCTAACATTTGCTTCGACCCATGACAATGCTTGGTTTGGTATGCCTTTTTTCACCATCCTTTACTCTACAATCCATGATTTGCATTCATTGTTTACAAGGTAAATTTATTGAAGAGTGGTCTGTTCTTTTGCGCTGCAGCATTGTATTGCTCAGAAGCTATTTTCCAGTCATCAAAATCTCATTTGGATAAGCAGCTGTGTTCTGCTATATATTTTTTTTGTCCACTGACTCTGTGAACAACCCCGCCAATTATACTAAAACCAAACAAAGGTACACAGCTTTGTTATTATATCATTTCGTTAAGTACTTGCAGATTTCGGAATTATTCAGAAGCTTTCATTTTCGTTGCAATAATCTTACAAGCAAGATGCATGACCCTAATCATGGTTCAGCATCAGCTGTCTAGAACTCTTTGAAATATCGTATAAAAAAAGAGAACTCTTTGAAATATCTAGAAGCTAAATTGGCTGGACGCTCATGTCCTATATATGATAACATATGTATGTACATACATAGTATCTACAAGTATTTGTTGTTGGTTAGCTCAGTGAACTTGGTTGTGGCCTCGAGTAATTAAAACTATCCATCGATTTTACTTGCCTTTAATTTTCTTTTTTTGCTTTTGCTTATATAAAAGTTAGGCCTAGATTTTACAACTGATAACAATGAGCTGTGTATTCTTTTTATTTGCCTAGATGATTCAGCTGGACCCGAATGTGTATCAACATAATGCCTAGAGTTATTCTCTCTTTACTGTTGCAGTGTACCTTTAGGCTTTCTGATATAGGGAAAATTTTTGTGGCGGTGTTATACTGTATTCTTGGGCACATGTGCATTTGTTCACCTTACAACCTGCATTCTTGGTTTCATGTATATTTCATATGAATTTATTTGATCATAGAGATTTTTCATGTGTTGATTTGCTCCACAAATTGTAATGGTCAAATGCCAGTGTCCATAAAAAAAATGGTTGTTCCCATGTTCTGTTGTAAGCTAATTTTTGTGGCATTTTTGACATGTCTAACCAGTTCTGTTTTCCACAGGTACATGAAGAACAATCCGCCTGCAAAATCATTTCTATCAAACACATTCTTCACTTTTTATTCAAGAGCTAATAGACAAACCTTTCTAAGACGTATCGTGTCTTGATGCATCTATTTACATGTGTCCTGACCGGTTTCTTTACTTCCAGAAAACAATCCTTTGCATAATAATATTTGTACAGATTCCATTGGAAACTATCCTTTTCAGAAAACACTACTTTTCATTAGCCATGTTATTTCCCTTTTGCCGACCTGACAGTAATAGAAGGAAAAACAGTTGTAGTTTCATTATTTCAAACTCAATCGCACGTATGCAGCTATATATATGGGCTATATATATGGGCTATGGTTTAAGTAGGTGGACCTACTCTTGCTTCAATCTTTCTTTGTGGTATAGCATTTGAGAAACATTAGTTAGAATGTTGCATAAGTGTAGAATTGAAGAACTGGTGTACCTTCCGGTTTCATGAAACATTACTGTTGCCTACGAATTTTCATGTGCCATGCTTAATATTTGGTGTCCGTTTTTCTTTCTCAATTTACATAATTCAAATAGACCTTACCATATGCCAATTTGAAATACTTGGATGTGAATTAAATTTAGATCTCCTTTTTCCCCGGCACAACGCGTGGGGTGCTGACTAGTTAAACAAATTGTCCAGATTTCCTGCTAGGCATCACCATTTCCAGCACCAAAGCACCAATAGGCCGTAGGAGAAGAACACTACACACCAAAATACAGAACATGTAGGGGAAGTACTAGAGGGTGTTGTGAGGGAGTTGTGTATGCATGAATTTACCCATCAAAACTTAAACTATGGTGCCTACAAATTTTGCACGCCGATACACTTGCATTATAAATTAAGTGAGATTTATGGATACAACGATGCATGCCTCCTCCGAAATATGTTAAAGGGAGTGTACTTGCATTTATGGAGTATGATGTGTGTGTGGATTTATCAAGTAATAAAAAAGTAGTTGTGTGGACTTCAATCAATGGGAGCAGGTACAATAGTAGACTATAAGCTAGCTATAAATATATTTTAAGGAGATAAAAGATGAGAGATAAGAGCAGCGGGCTATAGATTTGTAGCCAACTGCAGCACAGACTTCAAGATACATGTGTGTATGATAAGTGAGACTAGACATTAATTATGTAGTATATATTTATAGGTAACTATTATATAAATTGGCTATTAAATTGACTATAGATGATTTGAAGCCAATAGTTGGCTATACTATTAAACTTGTTCTAATAAGAAAACTACTTGATACCCCGCGTTTTGCTATGGGATATATGGATGAATGTATGGTATACATTATTAAAATGATAGACGTATATGTTTAAATAATGTGAAAATGATGTGAAGATAGTGAATTGATATTGCTTGCATGCTGAGTTCTAAAAATACAATAAAATTACAAATGATATGATATGTCATGTTTTCATGAGATCTAAAATATTCTAGATAATAATTGCTAGTGGGTAATGATGTGGTATACTTACATTATGTTACATGTTGAGTTTTAGAAGTCAGTGGATACCACCTGTATAGAAAGTATACTATCATGGCCTGAATCTGATCTAAAGTGAACTAGTCATATTTTGCATACTTGGGCTGGCTGGGCCCAACATCCTGGGCCAGACATCCAAGCCCATTAGTAGGCCTATGTTTTGACCACTGTTGTTTAGAACTTGCCTGCTTACTTTCACTCACATTTTTAACTTTTTTTTCAGTTCGTAATGACTAGAAGATTTCATATGAACGCACTAAATTAGATTCCACATATTTCGTTTGTCAAAAATACTTAAAAAGTTCCCGAGATCTACTACTGTACTATACAGGCCCATGCATAGGCCGGTGCAACATGTGCACATGCTCAGGGCCCCCAAAAATTAGGACCCCAAAATCTACACTTAGTACTAATTGTGTATACTTAATTAGCAACCACTACCTCCGTTTTAGGTTATAAGATATTTTAGTATTGCCTAAATTTATATAGATGTTAATAAATCTAGACATATATCTAGACACATATATGTCTAGATTCATTAACACATACTTCCTCCGTTTTACAATGTAAGTCATTCTAGCATTTCCCATATCCATATTGATGTTAATGAATATAGACATATATATCTATCTAAATTCATTGACATAAATATAAATACAGAAAATGTTAGAACAACTTACATTATGAAACGGAGAAAGTATATGAATATGGACAATCCTATTTTATAACCTGAAACTGAGGAAATAATTAACAGACCCAAGAGCCTAGGAAGATGAAATGTTGGAAGGGCCAATCCCATGCTGGGCTAGTACTTACGATTTGTTTTCACCGTTGCCGCTTGCTGCTGATTCGTATTTCGTAGAATTTTTTATTTTTATTTATTAGGAAAAAGTCTAAATACCCTCTAAACTTTAGATATAAATCTGTCTAGCACCCTGAATTTTAAAACCGGACACCCAACTCCCTAAACTTTGTAAAACCGTACGTATTACCCCCTAAGGTGGTTTTGTACAGTGGTTTTTATCTAATTTGTATATAAATTGGATGAGTTTGATCACGTAACATACACATTGGACATATGTATTAAAATCTTCACTTAAATCTTTCTTTTACTAGTTGTTAGCTCTCACTTACAAACAAGTACCAACATAATAATAGTATGATATCTGTCAGGGTTATGGATAAGGTATACTCTCTATCCTTGGATGTACGGTGGGTATCGATATGGCATACCCGCGCGTATACGGATAGTTTCCATATACGATGAGGAAATCTATCACGTGATAGAAACAAAATATACGGATGGGAGGAGTCCTACTCGGACGAGACTGGGTCTTTACCATATCGTGAGGGGTTCGATATCTTCGAGTCCTACTTGGAGATCAACTGACCCGCGGTATATAAGGGACCCCCTGGACAGGACCTAAGGCATCGAATATTGCTGCCAACACATACACCTCACAGCCTACGGAGCCGGAGCGTGCAGGAGCCAAGTCGCCAAGAGATCTAGTTGAACCAACTCAACTACGCTCTCGTCAGTATCATCGAGTTCTGCTATTCCCTTTGTAATCTGTGGTTTCTATCATATAATCCCATACCAACTGGATTAGGGCTATTACCTTCCAAGGTGCCTGAACCAGTATAATCCTTGTATTCTGTTTGCTTGATGTCGTATTACGTAGATCCTCGTATCAATGGACCCCACTATCATCTATATCCGGTCTACGGGTATCCCCGTCGACAATATCCCTGTATAAGTATAAATTAATGACTTACAACTGATGATATGCAAATATGTTATATTAGTTATTTAAAGCTGTTCATTTAAACTTTTAAAATATGCAAAAACACCATCCAAAACCACCGTAGGGGGTAATTTGAACGGTTTTGTAATGTTTAGGGGGTTGGATGTCCGGTTTTAAAGTTTAGGGTTCTAGACGGACTTCTATCTAAAGTTTAGGGGGGTATTTGGACTTTTTCATATCTATTAAAATATTTACAAAAATAATTTTCTATTTGAAAAATTTACAAATCTAGTCCCCATTGCCCTCTGGGAGTCTAGTGGACGATTTATCCGACGTGGCAGATGGTCGTTGGCCCTCGCTTTACAGCTGGCCACCGAGGATGGCGAAAATTTACATGCAGCCCCCTTGCCGCCCAAGTCGGGTTGTGCCGGGCCGGCCCGAAGGCACGGCAGGTCGGCAGCTTGTGCTTCTTTGAGATAAGTCTATTTCACCTCCCTCCTCTTTGGGTGGGATAACAATAAGTCTATTTTGTGTCCCTCATCTTTGAACCGCGTCTTATACATAGCTACAATAAGTCTATTTTTCCTTACTCTTTTTGGGGCCGTGCCATATCTTATAAATCGATTTCAGGGTCCGATCCCAAGCATCCCATTGGGCCACGTGGCATCGCGTGTTGAGCTCCATCGGCATTCTCGGCTGAAGAATGCGCCACGTTTCGCACCCCTCCCACAGCCGTTAGATGGTACATCGACGGTCAAAAATCATCTGGCGGATCTAAATGTAAATTGCAATTTTCAAGAGGGGTTTTTTACAAAACGTGTGACCTTATCTGGAAGAGTCCGGATTATTGGAGAAAAAAATCGCAACAAAAAACCTCGTACTCACCGTGCGGCCGCCCTGCCTCGATCCACGCCGCTGGCGCCTGCATCTATGCGGCCTGCTCCGATTAGATATGCGCTGCTAAGGTGAGGCGAGAGAGAGGGACGGGGGAGAGAGAAAACTGAGCTCGACGATCTGGATGTTGAGGCTGAGCGACGGATGGAGCAGTCGAGCAGCGGGGGTTTGCTCGTCGGTGGGATTTGGGCCTTGCCCTCGATGCCATCCTCGCCTCCATCCTGCGCCGCCGGAGGTCGCTCCCACCGGCCCCTGTGTCCGCCGCGCACGCGCTCCTAAATGGTCGCGGTCTCTACTCTATAGCCATCTTCGCTGCGCACTGCTCACACTGCTCTCCGCGCTCGCGTGGAAGTGGATGTGGGAACTGGGAAACGAGTGGTCATGGGCTCGCGGGAAAGCTGCACTTTCCTTTCCTACGCGCTAGTAGTACTACTACTATTCTCGTCTGCTTTTTTGTTCTTTTTTTTTATTTCTAACTGTTCGCTGTAAGGCTGCACTAAAACATAGAGAAATACTAGTAGAGTACTCCCTCCATCCCAAAATGTTTGACGCCGTTGACTTTTTTAAAAATATTTGACCGTTTGTCTTATTCAAAAAATTTAAGTAATTATTAATTATTTTCCTATCATTTAATTTATTGTTAAAAATACTTTTATGTATACATATAGCTTTACAGATTTCACAGAAGTTTTTAATAAGATGAACGGTTAAACATGTTTAAAAAAGTCAACGGCGTCAAATATTTAGGGAAGGAGGGAGTACTACCTAAACAAAAAAAAATGCGTATCAAATGCCCCCTATGTGACTTAGGATCTGTTTAGTTGGTGAAATAATTTTTTTTTATGTTACGTCAGACGTTTAACCGGATGTTAGAAGGGGTTTTTTTTGACACGGATGAAAAAAACTAATTTCATAACTCGTCTAGAAACCACGAGACGAATCTTTTGAGCCTAATTAAGCCGTCATTAGCACATATGGGTTACTGTAGTACTTTTATGGCTAATTAATTAGACTCAAAAGATTCGTTTTACGATTTACATGCAAACTGTGCAATTAATTTTTCTTTTTATCTATAGAGTAAATTGCACCCACGGTGCATCAACTTGGCAGGTGGGTGTAATTTGGTGCAAGAACTTGAGAAATGAGCATTCTAGTGGCAACAACTTGGCAAATATGTGTAATTTAGTATAAGAACTTTATAAGTGATCGTATAAATGTAACAACTTGCAAGGTAGGTACGATTTTAATACAATAAACTAAGAAATTATGCGACAACTTAATTATTTGGAGCATTTTCTATATAGATTCAATTTAAGTAATTATTTTGACAATATACT